CTCACATGGACAGCCCTCACATGGGCAGCCCTCACATGGATAGCCCTCACATGGACAGCCCTCACATGGGCAGCCCTCACATGGACAGCCCTCACGTGAACAGTCCACACATAGGCAGCCCTCACATGGATAGTCCTTACATGGAAAGTCCTCGCATGACTGTCCCGACATGGGCAGTCCTCACATGGGCTCTTCTAGCAACAAGGGGGTCTGGGAAGTGAGTGGGAAAATGACCAGGTCAAGTTGCTGTAATCTGTTTTAGAGCAGTCTCTTCACATATGAAGATAAAAGTGAGAAAGCCATCCTGAGTTTTTCTGAGCAACAGCTTGAGGCCAATGAGTTTTCCCCTATGGACATCCCAAGCCGGAAGGACTCGGAGAAGCTGGATAGCAAGGACCAGGATGACATGCGGCCTGCAGGTGAACTGGGCCCAGGAGGAATGGGGACTGCTCCTCCTGCCTCTTGATTCCTAAGGGAGCCATGGGCTTCAGCCCGAGTGACTGCTGGACAGGTAGGAGGAGGCCTGGCATGGGCAGGTGAGGGCCCAGGGGACAGCAGTCCAGGAGCCTCCTGAGCAGCCAGGGCCCAGGCCTTGACAAGGAGAGCTAAAAGGTCCAGAGTTTTCTTAGGGCTTCAGTTTTTGGGTTTTTTTTAAATTAAATCATAGTTGTGTACATTAATGCAATCTTGGGGTACAATGTGCTGGTTTTATATACCACTTAAAATATTTTCATCAAACTGGTTAACATGGCCTTCACCACATTTTCTTAGGGGGTTCAGTTTTAAGTGATAGCAAATAAGGAAACAGTCACATAAGTAAATAATTGGTTATGGATTGGATTGACATTCACATTCATGCTGAAGCTAACAAAGGACTTGAAGGAAGTCCCCAGAGCAGGGCCACCACACGCAGGCCCCACCAGCGGGGACAGTGCCCTGGGTGGGTGCACTGAAGGCCTGGGCTGGTCTCTGGCTGTTGTCTGTCTCCCCCCAGTGGGGCAGAGGGAGGAGGAGGAGTACCCAGTACCCACTCTCCACCCAGGCTGCTGTCTGGAGCATTCTCCTGCTCCCTTGCTACTCCGTATAGTTTTTCCACATATGTGTCCACACCCAGCAATGGCCAATTCCTCCTGCCATTAGCTTTGCACAGACAGAGCCACAGTGCAGACATTCTGCACAGCACCCCTGCGGCTCCACAGAGCTCAAGAGGTTCTCCATACATGTGTGTGACCTGGGCTTGGGCAGAGATCTCTTACATATGACATTGACAACATCGTCCATTTTTTTTAAACTGTAAACTGGACTTCAAGAGTATCTGTTCTTCAAAAGACCCTGGGAAGAATAAAAAGACAAGTTGCATACCTGTAATCCCCGCACTCTGGGAGCCCGAGGCAGGTGGATTGCCTGAGCTCACAGGTTCAAGACCAGCCTGAGCAAAAGTGAGACTCCCATCTCTAAAAATAGCCAGGCATCGTGGCAGGTATCTATAGTCCTAGCTGCTCAGGAGGCTGAGGCAAGAGAATTGCTTGATCCCAAGAGTCCGAGGTTGCTGTGAGCTGTGACAACATAGCACTCTACCAAGGGTGACAAAGTGAGACTCTTCTCAAAAAAAAAAAAGAAAAGAAAAGAAAGAAAGACAAGCTGCAGACTGGCAGAGAATGTCAGCAAATCACACATCTGATAAATAACTTGGATCCAGGCCAAGGGCAGTAATCTCAGAGCTCTGGGGGCCAAAGCAGGAGGATTGCTTGAGATCTGGAGTTTGAGACCATCCTGAGCAAGAATGAGACTCCATCTCTACTAAAAATGGAAAAATAAAGCTCAGCACCCATAGCTCATTGAGTAGGCCGCCAGCCACATACACCGAGGCTGATGGGTTTGAGCCTGGCCAGGACCTGCTAAACAACAATGACATCTGCAACCAAAAAATAGCCAGGCATTATGGTGGGCACCTATAGTCCCAGCTACTCAG